TATTATTAATCCTCCAATTACTTCTATTTCAATTCTATTTTTCATTGATTCTAAATAAAAATTATAATTCCAACTCCCATAATTTAATATTCAAGCAATAGCAAGTAAAAAAGCAACATCACCAATACGATTTGATAAAGCAGTTAATATACCAGCGCTCCAAGATTTAACATTTTGAAAATAAATAACTAAACAATAAGAAACTAATCCTAATCCATCTCAACCTAATAAAATTCTAATTATATTTGGACTAATAATTAATAATATTATAGATAATACAAATATAAGAACTAATATAATAAAATATTAATATCGCCACTTATATATTCTTTTCTATAATAAATCACTAAAGAAGCAATTAAAAAAACAAAAGATATAAATAATAAACTTATTCAATAAAATAAAATAGTTATAACAATTCTAGAAGTATTTAATGAAAAAAATTCTCATTCAAAAAAAATACAATAATCTCTTAATAAAAGTCTTAAACTAAAAATAAATTAATTAATTCTAGTTCTCAATAAAATCGAAATATTTTTTCACGATTTTAAATTACATATATCATATCATTGACACCACAAATCAATGTTTTAAATAAACTATTTAAATTTTAGAGTGAAAATATAAAAATTTCACTTTTTAAAATTAATAAATTTAAAGGAAATCAATGAAGTATTAAAATAAATATTCACTAAATTAATAAATTAGAGAAAACCCCTTTCCATGTTGTCTATATGCATGCAAATATAAAGTATATGCAGCTCTAAACATAGATAATAAAGATAAAGAAATTATAGTTAACCATGATCAACTAACGATTCTATTTAATAAAGAAATTTCACCTAATAAATTTAACGAAGGAGGTGCAGCTATATTACAAGAACTTAATAAAAATCATCATAAAGTTATTGAAGGTATAAAATTTAATAATCCCTTATTAATTAATAAAACTTCGACTTCCTAATCGCTCATAAGTTATATTAGCTAAACAAAATAAACCGGATGAACATAACCCATGAGCAATTATCAAAGTGTAAGATCCGCATAAACCTCAATAAGTTAAAGTTATAAGGCCTCCTTAAACCAATTCCTATGTGAGCTACAGAAGAATATGCAATTAAAGCCTTTAAATCAGTTTGTCGTAAACAAACTAAACTAATTAATACCCCACTAATTAAACTAATTCTAATTCAAATATAATTATATTTAACCCCACTCAACTGTAAAAAAGAAAATACTCGCAATAAACCATAACCCCCCAATTTTAATATAATACCTGCTAAAATTATAGAACCAGAAACTGGAGCTTCAACATGAGCTTTAGGTAGTCATAAGTGAACTAAAAATATTGGTATCTTGACTAAAAATGCTAAAATTACAGTTAAATATAATAAGTCATAATTAAATAAATAATTATTCAAAAGAAAAAAATTCAATGTTATTATATTATTATATAAATAAAAAATACCAACTAATATTGGTAAAGAAACTAATAAAGTATAAAATAATAAACATACACCAGCTTGTAAACGTTCAAGTTGATACCCTCATCCTAAAATTAAAAATAAAGTAGGAATTAATCTTCTAAATAATCTTAATAAATAAAATAAAAACAAATTTATACTAGCAAATCTTAAAATTACAAATAATAAGAAAATTAAAATATTAAATAAAAATAAATTCCTTTAATTATCAAATTTATTAACAGATTCACTAGCAGTAGTTATAAGAGTACAAATTCAAAATCTTAATAAAATTAATCCATAAGAAATTGTATCAAATCCTAATAAATAAGAAATATATACAAAATATTAGTACAACAATTTATTATAATAAATAACAATGTAACCAAAAATATTAAATTTTGACCCTTCAAAATGAACTATTATTAAAACAAATTGGACTAATAAAAATTATTATAAAAATTGATTTTAACATTGTAAAACATTAAATGATTGAAAATAATCATTTCCATGAGTACAAATTATTGAAACAAGAATTAAAAGACCTAATGCACCCTCACAAACTCTAAAAGTTAATAATATCATACTAAAAAATCTTCTAACATTTATTAAATTTAAATAAATAAATAATAAATTTAATACAATATATTCTAATGTTAAAAGCATTGATAATAAATTCTTTCGATAAGAAACCAATATAAAAACTCCAATTAAATATAAAAAACAAGGTAATCCTCAATAAAATATTGTTAACATTAGTTTTAATAGTTTAATAAAAACATTGGTCTTGTAAAACAAAAATAAGATTTTATCTTTTAAAACTTCAAGAGAAAAGTTAATCTATATATATATAAAAATGGTGTGAAAAATGTATAGTAATTCATCAATTGAGAACGGTTGGGGCGATTTGGCAAAATTTTTTGTTTAGTTGTTCGTAATTGCCAGGAGAAGGTTTTTACGAAAGAAAATTTTGAGAAAACTTTCCGGGAAGGTTGGAAATTGGAAAAATCTAAAAGTTATTTTTTTGTATGGAATTTTTTGTGCAATTCTTTCGGAATGGCTTTCGAATGGAAAAATAGAAAATTCTAACTAGAAAACTCGGAAAAATTCGCAAGGACGCGAAAAATTTGAACATTTTTACGACGAAATTTTGCATTTTGTCGGATGATTTGATGATTTGGGATTTGATGATTTTGTAAAGGTGGAAAATTCGTTGTGAAGCTTGGAAAATTTCGGATAATTGTGAAATTCATTGTGAGGTTGAATCAATTGGGAACAATTTTCTCCTATGTTTCATAACCGATTCGAATGGTTGCTGCTTTTTTGGAAAGGTGGTTAGAAGGAGAAGTGTACAAAGTTTTAATTTTCCGATAGGGGGCGCAGGGGTTGAGCTACGCTAAGAGCTACGTACGTAGGTAGCCTTTCGCCTAGATTAGCATATAGGATTCATTTTTTCCGTTAAGTTGGCCAGGCATGTAGGTAGCTTATTGCCAGGATAAAAATATAGGACACTTTATCTGATAGGTGGACCAGGGACCGATCTATACCAAAAAATCTTATTTATGGCCCGATTTGCTTTAAATTCGATACCCGTATTATAGATATGCGTAGAATAGAATTGAGTCATTATTTTACAGTTCGAAAGGTTTTTGAAAGCGCCGCAAACATGCGGGTGTTGGCTATTTAGCAATACTTATTACACAAGCCAGCAAATATATAAAAAAAAACTTTGATGCAGCAAATGTTAACGCTATTTTCGACGTAAAATTTCCATCAGCCCCAGATTTTAAGAAAAACGAGGTCAAAGTGTCAAAAAATCGGGTTTTTTTCAATATTTGAGAAACTCTAGCAAAGAAACAAAGAGTTGTAGAACCTCCCACTTAGACTTAGATTAAAGCGAAAAATCTCGACTACTATCCCTGCAAAAACTGATTTTGGGAAGTTTGAGTACCTACCGCAATTAAGCAAAAGGTGTTGTAGGGGGTTTAAAGAAGCGTTTTTCTAAACCACAATTTAACAAACCGTATTAGCAAAGATTTATTATCTCATTTGAGCTGTGCAATTAAAATATGCGAAATGAGCAAAGTTACCGAAAATGAACTTAACACGTCTTGGTGGTCAACAGAATAGAGGTGGGTAACTCAACTCAGAGTTGAGTTATTGAGTTGATTCCTATAAGTGAATCGGTAACTCAGACTCCCTGTCCAAAAAAAATGTAACTCAGTAACTCAGTTGATGCCGTAGGGCTCACATGAATCAATTGAATCATAGTGGCTCATATTTGTCCATATAACTCTCTCGCTTCGCCACAGTGTTTAGCATGGCAAAGTCTTGCATTTTGTTTTTGCACGAGGCGAATTTATACAAGGTGGTGGCAAGAATACAACAAGAACAACCACATGTATTTTGTATTGCGGGTGTTATGTCAAATCTCACAAATTCTTATAATTTCTTTTTTTTTTTTAGTTTTTCTCGAAATATGTATGTATAAGATATATAAAGATGTGCATATCAAATCAATTGCCTTTCCAACCATATCCACATTTTGAAATTCGGTACAATAGGTTTCGAAATATAAGCTTTTGAAAATATTGAAAATTCCACCTTTACCCTCCCCCTAGCACCGCCCTATTAATTTGCACACAAAAAAAATTACACCTTTCAAATCAGTAGAAAGGAGCTGACCACGCCCACTTTAAAGTTTTGTTTTATCTCAACGGCCGCTATACCGCATCTATGCCTCAAAACGAGTCTACGATACGAATGAGTGTAATGGGCTGTTTTTGCTTACGCGTAAAAGCACATTTAGCGCATTTAGCTCTAAATGCTACTCTAAGTGTACATTTAACCATACAAAATTCGCCACCTAAATGCAACTCCATTTTTGCATTAAGAATCTAAATGCTAAAAGCAACCCTGTGATCTTCCAAAATTTCCACGATTCGAACATGGTTTAAAGAGAAAAAGTGGCAACATTGCTTTTTCGAGTATACAGTTGCTAGCTGCGTTTCAGTGATCGTCGATCGAGATTTCTTTTATTTTACATTACATATTTGGATAAAGAAAAGTTAAGCAAATTCAACATCGATGTGATGCTGATAGAAATCAGGATCAATTTATGATCAACTCTGTTTGTTTTGTTTCCTAATTAAGTGAGGAAATTTTAATTGACAGCACCCACAAATGAATATATACATAAACAAATGTTCGGTTATGGTTAAAACAATTCAAGTTTTTGTAGGTTTAAAATTTATTTTTTCCTTTTCAGTAGGGTTTTTGCACATTATCTTCTGTGTGAGAATTAATCGTAATATATAGGGATCTAAATAAGAGACTGGAACACGGCTGTTTGTCAAAAGCATACGATTTCGAACTCGCGTAAATGTACATTTGCTAAATGCTATAGCATGAACGCTCTTCGAAAACATGTGTTCGAAAGTGCTAAATGTTGCATTTTAAATGCAGCAAAAACGCTACATAACATACAAAGAGTCAAATGAGTTAGTTGAATGAGCTGACTCCTTAAAGTGAGTTGGAGTCATTGAGTCAACTCCTATAAATTTGCTGAGTTACCCACCCTTACAACAGAAGACTAATTTATTTTATGTTCTCAACTCATATTATATGTAATTCAAGCTAAATATGATGTTAGTATGTATGTATATTCACATAACAGTAGTAGGCGGTGGCGTGATACAACAGTGAAATTCCAATGAGAGTTTAAATTTAAATATTTATGTACATATGGATGTAAGCATGCATACGTAGTATATACATATGTATAAGTACAATTAGTTGTGTTAGATTGACATATAAGTATGTAAATGTGTGTATATCTCTTTGTACAATTGAGAGTGAGCGTGAATGTAATAACATTGGAGTTATTGAATGCAATTATTTAAATGAGTATTAAGTAAATGAGTGTTCAGGTGTTCTTAACCTAAGACAGCTTGCAGGGTGTCTCGTTAGGTGACCCAACATCCCGGCCCCGTTGAAAGGACTTTCAAATCGGTAGTACTGCAACCTTGTGAATCGGGCGACGGTTGGTTCCCCTCGACGTTCGTATGTCGACCACTCTAACTCTGGTATCCTTTCCTGGTATGGCATTTATAGTTCGTCCCAATTGCCATCGTTGTGGTGGCACATTATCCTCATGGACGAGATTCATGGCGTCCTTTGCGATATTTGCGTGGTCAGTGGTCCACTTTGTTCGCGCTAGAAGTTGACTCCATTTGTCGACGGGGTTGATGTTGGCTGCTACTTCGCGCTCCGGAAGTGATTTCAACGCACTGCCCGTAATAAAATGACCTGGAGTCAAAGCCTCATAATCACTGGGGTCAGATGAGAGCGGTGATATTGGCGTAGAATTAAGAACCGCTTCTATTTCCACTAGGACTGTAGTGAGCTCCTCATACGTCAGTCTGGCATTCATGACGCTGCGGTTGAGATGACCTTTGGCTGACTTGACTGCAGCTTCCCAAATGCCGCCAAAATGAGGTGCTCTAGGAGGGATGAAATGAAAATTAACAAATTCATTAGCACAATAGTTAACGATGATATCTTGATTTTGTTTCTTGAAAAGGAATGTTTTTATTCAGCAAGTTTTCTGCAAGCGCCGACAAAGTTGGTTGCATTGTCGCAGAAAATGTCAGATGGAAGACCTCTCCTTCCAATCATTCGCTTAAGCGATGCTAAAAAAGCATCCGTGGATAGGTCAGAGACGACCTCGATGTGAACCGCCTTTGTTGCAAAGCACACGAAGATGGCTACGTACGCTTTATAGGGTGCCTTGCCTATAATACGAAGATAGACGTTGAAGGGTCCACAAAAATCGATTCCGCAGCGAGCGAACGGGCGCGACGGTGTTAAGCGCTCAACTGGTAGATTTCCCATCATGTGCTGGAGTAGTTTCGGCTTGTATCTCACACAATGGATACAGGATCGGACGACGCGTCTAGCGATATCGCGTGCGTTAACTATCCAAAACTGTAGGCGAATCAAAGATACCAACGCTTTAGGTCCTGCGTGATAATTTTTGATGTGCAGATGTTTAACATATCGTGTCACGAATTCGCATTTGTTGGGCAACAAAAGGGGATGTTTTTGTGATTCAGAAATATCAGCCAGTTCAAGTCGACCGCCAACCTTCAGTATTTCGAAACCATGGGTAACCTCCAAAAACGGGTTCAGATTTCGTAGCTTGCCATTTGTCGTTGACTCTCTCTGCAACATTTGAATGTCGTTAGTGAATTGGTATTGTTGCACGTTCCAAACAATGCATAACAAAGCGCGGTGTAGTTCGTTGGCAGTGGGTGGTCCATTTACAGTGTCGGTGTCTCGTTTCTTGAGCCTTGTGCAAAATCGGAGCATTAAAGCGACCAGTGTGACTGCCAAGGTGTGAGAGCTGTACCTGTCGAGGATTTCAAGAACATAGTTAGTGGGTATAGTTACTTTAAATGCCGATTTCCGCATTTCAGACTTGACAACCGCCATGTCTACGTTGTTACTCATTTGTGTGGGCCATTTGCTTACGTCTTCGTAAAGAAATGCAGGTCCAGTGAGCCAAATTGAGCTAGCAAGTTCAAGTGCCGTGCTTCCTCTCGATGCAATGTCAGCTGGGTTGCTTTTGGTTGGCACATGTCGCCAATGAGCGTCCACAGTCAAATCCTGGATTTCCGATGACCTGTTGCCAACGAAAGCTGATAGCGTAGCCGAGTGTAGTTTGAGCCAGTGAAGAACAATTTGCGAGTCTGTCCAAAGATAAGTTTCGAACCTATAGTTAGTGAAAATTGCTTTGATTTTTGTGAAAAGTCGAGCAAGAAGGAGTGCACCGCAAAGTTCCAGTTTTGGCAGTGACTGTCGTTTAGTTGGGGCCACTCGTGATTTTGCCGTAAGAAGGCGAACGCGCACATTGCCAGTGTTGTCTACGGTTCGTGTATATAGTCCGCAGCCGTAAGCACGAATCGACGCGTCACAAAACCCATGTATCTGAAGAGACTGCATGTTGGTAGATAAACAGTACCTTGGAACCTTAACTGAAGCCAGATCAGAAAGATTGTTGACGAATTTTTCCCAAGCCGACTGGATATTTTGAGGAACAGACTCGTCCCACTCAAGTTTCAGCAACCACATTTCCTGAAGCAGGATTTTGGCAGTGACGATCACTGGTGCTAGGAGGCCAAGTGGATCAAAGAGCGACGATGCGGTAGATAGAATTGTCCTTTTCGTGACACGACTATTTGTAGGCTGCCTAGATTGAAACGAGAATAAAAAATTATCATGTGTCTGATCCCATGTCAGAACAAGAGTGCTAGTTATTGAGGTATCGAGATTAAGTCTTTGACAGAGTGTTCGCCCCTGAAACGCTTATGGTTTGAATGCCACTTTGCCAGGTCAAGTCCACCTAATTTTAGCAACTCCGTTACCTCTTGTTTTATTCGCGAAAGGTCCGTACGCGAGTCATCACCGCACAGCAGGTCATCAACGTAGAAAGATGACTTGACGACATTTGCACCAACGACGAATTGCGATGCATGTTGATCAGCAAGGTGATGCAGACTACGTACCGCGAGGTATGGTGCGGCCTCCATTCCGTATGTGACCGTATTAAGCTGGAAGGTTTGAATTTCCTGGTTAGGCGAACTCCTCCACAAGATGTACTGGAACATTCGATGTTCTTCACTGACCAGCACCTGCCGATACATTTTAACGATTTCTGCTGTGAGCGCAAAGCGATGTAAACGAAATTGGAGCAAAAGAACTACAAGCTCGCTTTGTATGATAGGACCCACCATTTGGATGTCGTTAAATGAGGTTTGAGTAGTGGTCTGACAAAATGCGTCGAAGACAACCCTTAGCTTTGTTGTTGTGCTACCTGGCTTCAGAACGCAGTGATGGGGGATGTAGTAGTGAGGCTGGTTTAAGTTCGGGCTCAGAGCTACCTGCATGTGGCCTAGTCTCTCATACTCGTCCATGAATTCGACGTACTGTGTCCTGAGGTTAGGAGAGCGTAGCAGACGACGTTCTTGTGCACTAAAACGACGCAAAGCTGTGGTATACGATTCACCCAAGCATGCAGGATCGTCCTTGAACGGCAGTTTTACGACAATTCGACCATTTGGGCTCCGAGTCACGGTGTCGTTATAAAGTTTTTCGCAACTGTGTTGCTCACGAGTCCACATGTCCGCCTTTGAAGTGACTTCTTCAATCTGCCATCAGTCTTGAGTCTATGGACTCTTCACAGGCAAGTAAACATTTGGTGTTAAGCGTGTTAGAGCTCGCACGATAGCGTCCAGAAACGACCCAACCCAAAAGCGTTATCTGCAGAATTGGTAGACTATCACCAAGTTTGATTTGGCCCACTGAAAGTAAACTGAAAAAACTTTCCGTTCCTAAAAGCAAGTCGATTTTTTTAGATTTGTAAAATTGATTGTCTGCAAGCACAATATTGGATGGGATGTCCCAAGACGAAGTATCTATTTCCGGTTCAGGCTGATAGGCTATATGCGATGTTATACAAAGCGTGAGTGGTAATTCGAATCCTGTCACTTGCGATTTTATATTGGTAGAGGTCGTATATTTGATGTTTGTAGATGACTTAACGATACCTTGAATTTCAATGTTATGTTTTCTCCGTGGAAGCATCAGGGTTTGTGATAATTCATCCGTAATGAAGTTTA